TGATGGCTACTAGTACTAAGTCATTGCAGGGAAAAACTAGTGGCGTATGTATATGAATTCTTTCCAGTCTGACCACCGTGGTCATGGCGCAGTGCCACGCCACGCCATCCCAGCCGAATACATGTGCCCAAACCCGGCCGGTATTGGCATACCATTCGTACACATGACGTACAGACTAGACATGACAGAATGTGATGGTAAACATTTACAAAGTCAACGTTTTTTATCATAAAAATTAAACTGCAACCCAGGCTTACCTTTCGCATAGACTTCTTTCTGGCTTCGGATGTCGTCGACGAAAAATCACTACATTTTGTACCCCCATTTTTTTCTACGTGTTCATCGCGTGAAGCGATGCAAGGTGTCCACCATTTTGGATGCCGTGGTAAACATTATGTCGTCTTCACTACTGTACTGTACGGTACATGGTGGGCGCGTACTGCTGCTTGCAACCCTTGGGATGTTGTTCGTTTATTTCTGAGTTCTTCGTTTATTTCTGAGTTATGAAGCCCGGGAGGGGACAGGGTGGAAATGTTTTTTTTTGTAATTGGCTAATTCGTTCCCACAATTGCTAACTCGTTCCCATGAATTACAAATTTATTTGCATGAATTGCTAACTCGTTTGCACAAATTGCTATTTCTTTCGCACGAATTGCTATTTCATGTGCACGAATTGGCTAATTTGTGGGAACGAATTGCTATTTCGTACAATTTCCTAATTTGTGGGAACGAATTGCTAACTCGTGCATCCGGGAATGTGTTAGTAATTTGTGGGAACGAGTTGGCAATTCGTGGGAACGAATTAGCAATTCGTGCGATTGAATTAGTAATTCGCGGGAACGAATCAGCAAATTAGAGAAAAAAAAAATTCTGGCCTGTCCCTTCCCGGGCTTTATACTGAGTTGTTCGTTTATTTCTGAGTTTGTATATATTTCTGAGTTGATCGTATATTTCTGAGTTGATCGTTTATTTCTGAGTTAATCGTTTTATTATGAGTTGTTCGTCTATTTCTGAATTGGTCGTTTATATCTGAGTAGATTATTTATTTCTGAGTTGTTCGTTTATTTTTGAGTTGTTTGTTTATTTCTAAATTGTTCATTTATTTCTGAGTAGATTGTTTATTTCTACTGTACGGTACATGGTTTATTTTTGAGTTGATCGTTTATTTCTGAGTTGATCGTTTATTTCCGAGTTGTTCATTCATTTCTGAGTTGTTCGTTAATTTCTGTGTATTTTGTTTTATTTTTGTTCTTGTCTTTTTTGCCCTAATGGCTGCCCATAGTACTGTGGTGTCCAGCATGATGAAGGGAGTTCGATCTCAAACTAAATTAGGATGAGTGTGTGAATTGGAAGCTGTCCAGGTGAAGTACACAGAATCACCAGTTCAGTTCAATTTTAGCAATTAATAGAGAATTTATTCAATCATCAGCAAAATTAAGTAAATCAGGCATACGTACATCAGCAAATCAGAGTAGAAATCAGCAGAATAACAATGAGTGAATCAGTTGCACTTAATTGACAGCTGTTGATCCCAAGAATTACTTCCCCAGTATGAGCTGGTATGATGTGGGGATCCCGGTCATGATGTAAAGAAAGATCCTCAAAGCCAAAAGATCCAGTTTCATAAAAAAGATGGGTACAGGAAATAAGGATGCTGTTCTAAAAGATCATCAGCTCAGGAAAAGATCAAGCTGAAAAAAGATCATCAGGAAAAGATCCCCAGGTCTCAGTGGACCGCGTCTACATACTGCCTATGGAAAAAAAGACACGTCAACACTGCAGTCAAAATACATGGTGGCTGTGTACACACAATGGCGGTCAAAGGTCACACACACACATCGCGACTTCATACGCTGCTGTGCATATACATGTAAGTACAACCTGTGTGTGTGTGGGAATATGCACGATTGCAGCTATGACGACGACACTGCAAAATTGGAAAGTTTGTGAGTGAAAGTGTTGCAAAAACACAGGTTTCCCGCTAAGTTATAATGAAAAGGACACTCACCACAGGTTCTAGAGGCGCCCACGTTCCCACTCAGCGCATGGTTGTGCTTACCAAAAGCCAGAGTTGCTGACTCGAGTCATGTGACTTGGACTCGAGTCGGACTCGAGTCGCTATTTTTGAGACTTGTGACTTGACTTGTAAATACCAGCTTTGACATGTGACTTGACTTGGACTTGCAAACAATGACTTGTGACTTGACTTGGGATTGCAAAAAATGACTTGTTACCAACCCAAGTCAGACGCTACTCGAGCGACCCAATACACTTTAATTAAGCTATTATACTTTTAATTAGCTATTCGGTTTACGCCTTACATGCATTAAAAAACAGACTTTGGCTTGCGCGGTTTCTACTTCGCGCAGCTGCAACTGTATATCATATCAGTGAGCTGAGCTGTTACGTTGCGTAATGCCTGCCTGCACTTCTGGTTGGTAAATAAGAACAGCCTCCCCAGACTCTTTCCTCTTGCTATGAGGGTGCTGTCTGTTCCTGCTACTAGCTCCCCATCGAACGTGTATTCAGTCATGGAGGAATAATTATGAGGCCACACAGAGCAAAGCTGAGTGATACTATGCTATCAAATCTTGTTTATTTGAAGTGTAACAGTTTGTACATGAAAAAAAATTTTTTTTTTTCAATTGAAGTCGCCCAACACAAGGCCCAAAAAGGCCACTCAAGGTGTTTATAAATGCAGTTTATAGTTGCAGCGAGAAAGTTTCATTCCAGAAAATAGACCTCAGTGACTGAATCCAGTAAAATGAATAGTTCCCACTAGTTTCAAAAGTGTTCAATAAGACTGTCACAACAAACTACAGTTTTCAATGACCAAGTCTCTTGCTTCATGTAATGGTTGAACAACTTTGAAAGGAAGCTTTTATGAAAAGAAAGCAGGCCTTTGTCAATTGCATGTAAAATACCGGATAGCCTAACCCATTGGTCGGCGTTTAGTATACATGAAAATTGAACAATAAAGTGTTAGTATATGTAATCGAGTGAGTGAAGTCTTTTTTTCATGTCATCTCAACATTTATTTCTACAATGTTAAGTAAATTTATTAAAGTATACAAAAGGCTAATATCCAACAGATATGTGATAAACTACAAGAATAGTAATTGCAACACATTGAAAAAGGGGAATTAAGGAGGCATGTTCAAAATAACTTGTAAGTTGACGCCAGGTTCTTTTAGCTTATTACAGCTGGACAAAATAATGTGCAACTTGACGTGTTCTTGGACAAAGATACTTGTGACTTGACTTGTTTTTAGACCAAATGACTTGTGACTTGACTTGTGACTGGACCTAATGACTTGTGACTTGACTTGTGACTGGACCTAATGACTTGTGACTTGACTTGGACTTGCAAACAATGACTTGTGACTTGACTTGGACTTGCAAAAAATGACTTGCTGCCACCTCTGCCATAAGCAAAGAGAAAGTGAAATTTCCGGAGGAATTCTCCGGCTCAAAATTAGATGACTGCCGGATAGGGCGGAAAAGCACACTTATGGTCCAAAACCAGAAGGTCAAAAGAATAAGCCTGTTCGATTTGACGATATTTCTCGATAATTCGATTATATTTCCATATCGGAAATCATATTGATCTCTTAAAAGACAAAATCGGAATATCATGAAATACAATATGCCAAAAAATATTGCAATATCCTTTTGTAGTACCGCTTCTGTAACCATTGAAGTAACCACTGGAGTGCAAAAAGTGCCAGTAAAGGGCTCCCATGAAAAACCGCAAATTCACTCTTATCGCGATGTTTTTAGGGGCGGTACCAACTGACTAACGTACGCGTATTGGATTCTGTGTGTCCCATGCGTAAACAAGCAACACAATCCGGACGGTCTTTTTAACCAGATTGTACTGAATTTTGCCCCACTGACCACGTTGTAGACCATTACACCTTGGAGGAATAAATTGTTATTCCTCCATGGTTACACAAAGAGAAAACATAATCACATACGTCTTCATGGTTACGTCTTTCCGTTGAGCTATGCCTCTAATGAATTGAGATCTTTCCATTTGTCGGGGGGGGGGGGGGGGGTCCTGGTAGCCAAATGGAAATAAAGTCTCTGACATTTCATAAAGAAATGTTTCATATGGAACACTGTTTATTCTTTAAATGTGACCTCAGTTCCATCACATTTGTGGCATTGTATGCTGCCCCAGGTTGTACGTAGTCCACCCGAATGTAAATGGAGTCCACTTCATGCATTATGCATGACGTGTGCACGTGTACTGTGTCGCCGGTCAAGTGGCTTGCATATTTCTCATCTTGGGAAATTCCCATGAACTTATACGTGTTGAATGGCCGTATTATTCTTTGATGATTGGCATGACTCCATCACGTAATGTTTTAGGTGCAGGTATATTTCTCATGTTGAGAAATTCCCTTCTACATAGCACAAGGTTTATATTTATTTATTGGATCACAGTTTTAGTGGCTATAATAACTGAAACAATCCTGTTATCACAGGGAATTATTCTTTGGTTCTGATCGCCGCTGCTTATGGCTCCAGTATGTGTTTTATGTTTCGTGCGTGCGACAACCAGTGATGTAAAATGGCTTCCAAATGCCCGTCGCACTGTGCATTGGATACTACCATCGTTCTTTCCCCGTGAGATCCATTTCTATTTGCACATTTATCAAACATTTTAAGGTAAATTTTTATGATTTTTGAATGTGCGTTTTCTTCTTGGCAAAGTTTATGAGACTAGACAAATGAAATAGACGATTTTGTTCAGGACATAATTATTTGGACCATCGGGACTACCTTGATGCATTGGCGACTTCGGTCGTATTTCTTTTAATTATTCCATTGTTCCATCATGGTTCCATGAATGGAAAAATTACGTCATCACGATAATATCACAATATCCGATATTTTTCATGATGTTGCGATTTAAAAAATAAATGAATATTAAAAAGGGTAACATAACAATGGCTGAAAACGAATGAACAGGGCCCAAAGTACATGCATCTTACCTCACATCAGCTATTGCATCAGAAACATCAGGCGAAAAAGTTACTGGTGCACCCCGAGAACTCACTGCAGCCATTTTTGTAGTTGTAATTGATTTGCCAGCAATTCTACCTGAAGTATTCTGCAATTGTGTTTGTGTAAAACCTCTTTCCTGTCTACCCTCTATGTCACTTATTTCCATAACTTTGGATATGGTTCCTGCTGCTTCTTCCAGCTATAAAAAGAAAGGAGAAAATAAAACTTTAAACTGCATGAATATACCGTATGTATTTCAGGCAGAAATATGATTTTGTTTTTGTTTTGTGAAAATGTTATTTAAATGCCTACGTACAAGAAAAAAAACCAAACAAGCAAAACAATTGACGGAGGAGAAAATAATTTGTGACAAACTTTTTGAAAGATGGTTCTGAAACTTTTCTCATTTTTCAAAATGGATTTTATGATAACAATTTCAAATAGTCAGGAGTTGCATACCGTTTTCAGTTGCTGCGAAAATTCCTACGATGATATGAAACCTGATTCTCATAATCAAATTGAGTGTTGCGTCAGAGAAAAAAAAATAGTGACAGACAGGCCATGTGGACAACGTGCGCGGTGCCGGCTGCCTTTGTATTTCACAAATAAATACCTCACTTTGTGATATTTAATATACCATGAACCTGTTAGTGAGACATAAGGTAAAAGTAATAACATGTACATGAAGTATTCGTTTATGTGATTGGGATGACAGTGTATTAATGGAAACAAATTCATATCGAAGAGAAATAACTGTTAACCTTTCTGTTCATGGGTGCCACGTGCGGAGAAGTGCGGTTAGCCATGATCACACATGCATGTGAATGTCTGTCCACTCATTTATGGCACTTCTTGCACTTATTGTCTGTAGCAATTTTTTTTAATCCCACGCGTTAATCAACACACATTAATGCATATAACACACGTGGGTTCCAATTAATTTTAAACTGTATTGTATGGATTTTCCTCCAAAACTAGGAATTTCCAAGGTATACTTATCCGTCGCAAATTAAACTATTTTATGTAAGGGATATTGGGCCGGAATTTCAAACTGGAAAAGTAATTCTGGTTAAAGGGAAAACACAACATTTGCAAACATCAAAAAATAAAACTACCAAAACATTTTGAAATCGCAGTGGCTATTGTTACGGCAGCCGTAACGCATTTCCCATTTTCTATCGTTACGGTAGACTGCAACTTTTATAAAAACATGACAAGAAAATATAAAATTAGAAGGAAAAAAGTGAATTTGAATGTTATGAAATTCGGACTTAATTTCCCTTTAGAAAAAAATCCTCCAAAGCCTCAGGTTAGAAAATTCGAGTGCAAAACTGAAATTCGAACCCGCAACCTCGCGATGCAAAATCCTACCCTATATCGACTGAGCTGTCGCACTGCTCGCCAAATCGTGTGGGAACAAATAATTATATACCTGCGTGCGTATCAAAAAAGTATCGTAGAGGGCGCTAAACAAGGACTGCCGTAACGATAGCCACTTCGTTTTGAAATACCTTGCTGGACTGTTAGTAAGTGAATGACAGTGTAAAGCATCCTGTAAAATCATGGCACCTGGTATACTGTCATTTTCAAGAAAAGTGGTATTTTTGTATCAATTTCCAACGCTGATCGTCTAATTTTTCAAAATACTGGCCCCAGTTGACCATCGCACTTGTTTGCAATCGATTACACACCTATGAACGGGTACAAGCCAGCTAAACTGGTTCCCTGACCTTACAATTCCCAAATGTATGTAAACTGCTCTGTTTCTTCTTAAATGGAGTCAGGGAACCAGACTACAGGAAAATGATTGTTTTTCTTGGTTTTTATAGCATTTTCGAACCCCAAACCTCAAAAAAGTCAGTGTAACTATATTTGCTATATATTTCCAACCCCCCAATTCCATCCATTTCTGAAAATTACAGCAAAAGCGAATGATGTATATTCCCTTTAAAGGGAATATACAACATTTGCAAACATCGAAAAATAAAACTACCAAGTTTTTACGAAATACCTTACTAGGATGTTGGTAAATGACAGTCTCAAGCATCTTGTAAAAGTATGGCACCTGGTGTGAAGTCATTTTCAAGAAAATGGTATTTTTGTAAACATTTCCAACGGTGGTCGGCCGACCAGCGTTGGAAAAACCTATCTATTTTTCAACTACTGCTCCAAATAAACCATTTTTTCAGTCCAAATTTTGTTTGCTATTGGTTACATGTTCATGAACGGGTGCAGGCCAGCTAGACTGGTTCCATTGCCTTACGATTTTCAATCATCTATAAATTGATCCATTTTATCTTTTGTGGAGTCAGGGAACCAGACTACTTGAACATTTTTGTTTCTTGGTTTTTCCAACCTTTTCGAACACAAAACTTCAAAAGTGTCAGTGTAACAATATTTTGATCTATTATACTAACCTCTCAAATAGTTCATTTCTGAAAATTACAGCAAAAGCCAATGATGTACATTCCCTTTAAAATAGTAGCATTTAAAAAAAAAGAGCTTTTTGATGCTCCGTCTCCACAACGATACAAATTTGTGTATGTGTGAAATTTCAATTCAAACAGACTGGCCAACAGATTTGACACTTTCAATAGCATGGCTTACCTTTTGAAGCATCTTTTCTTCAGTGATATCAGAAGTTGAGTCTGCTTCGAGTTCCACATGATAAGGTGCCAATTGACTTGCCACAGAATTATATATGACCCCATAACGTCCTCTCTTTGAAAAGGGCACTTCTGTTCCAATCCTGAAATTTGAAAAGTTAATGATGGATAAGTCAACACATTGATAATTGTAAAATGTTTATAAACATGAGGATGAACATCAGCAAGGGGCTTCTAGAAACTGCACATGTTGTAGTCTACCAGCACAAATCATGCCAAGTGAAGACTCTCTTCAGTTTCTTATGTAAATCTGGTTCTGAGCACAGTATTCCCAGTATTTAAACATTTTCAATTTCAATTTCAATTTAATTTATTGGTCCTTCCAGGAAATTTGTCTTGTCACATGCAATACATAGATAATAGATAATTCATTAATATAATCCAGAAAATTTAAATAAGCAAATTACTAAAATAATACTTACTATTACTATGAAAATAAATATTTAAGCATATCAGTCAAAATGACAGATCCTGAAAAACAGCATGAAAATGAAAACCTGACTGTGTTGGAGATTGGAATAATGATAAGATACTGTACGTGTAATTAATGGTAATGTACATCATTGGCTTTTGCTGTAATTTTCAGAAATGAACTATTTGAGGGGTTAGTATAATAGATCAAATATTGTACTGATATGTTTGAAATTTTGTGTTCGAAAATGCTGGAAAAACCAAGAAAAACAAAGATTTTCAAGTAGTCTGGTTCCCTGACTCCACTAAAGATAAAAATGGATCAATTTATAGATGCCAGAAAATTGTAAAGTAAGGGAACCAGTCTAGCTGCTCTGCACCCGTTCATGAACATTTAACAAATAGCAAACACATTTTAGACTGAAAAAAGGGTAAATTTGGAGCAGTAGTTGAAAAATATTTAGGTTTTTCCAACGGTGGTCGGCCGACCACCGTTGGAAATGTATTCAAAAATACAATTTTCTTGAAAATGACTTCACACCTGGTGCCATAATTTTACAGGATGCTTTAGATTGTCATTTACCAACATCCTAGTAAGGTATTTTGTAAAAACTTGGTAGTTTTATTTTTCGATGTTTGCAAATGTTATATTCCCTTTAAAGATGTTTGTTGCATCAGTGCTGATCATTGAGGAGATGTATGGAAAATGGTACAAATGAATTGAGATACTGGTTTGTTCTTGCCCTTACCGACTGAAATCTCCTACCACTACTAAGCATTTTGAAGTATGTGTTGAGGGGATGCGCACCATTTTCCACCACACTAAGAAGAGCCTTAGTTAGTACCCTCTCCCTGCAGACTTCATCCAAATTTATTCCCATTCCCACAATCTTTGATGCTTGTTTCACAACCCTTTTCAGTTTGTCTTTGTCCTTTTTCATTGCTCCATTGTACCAAACTACACAGTCGTGGATGATGACACTTCCTATGACCGAGATGTAAAACAGACTCATAATGACCCTATCGACCTGAAAAGAACGTAGCTTATGCAAGAAATATAACCTCTGATTTCCCTTTGCTGTGAGGGAGTGTTTACTCCAATATAGCTTGCTGTCAATGATTGTTCCCAAGTATTTGTAACTTTGTACAATCTCAATGTTAACCCCTGCGATACAAACTGAACTGGTTAAGGGATTATTTGCCTTCTTGTGCCTAAAGTCAAACACCATTTCTTTAGTTTTGTCAGGGTTAAGTTCAAGATAATTGTCTATGCACCAAACACTGAATCCCTGTATGGATCGCCTGTAATCGTCTTCATCACTTGTATCAATAAGCCTGAGGATGACAGTGTCATCCGTGTATTTCAAAATGTTCACTAAATTATACAAAGAAACACAGTCATTAGTATACATTATAAAGAGACTTGGTGAAGCACACATCCCTGAAGTGATCCTGTGTTCGTTACAATGGTCTCTGAAAGAGTACCATTCACTTTCACTCGCTGAGTTCTGGCAGAGAGAAAGTTGCATACCCAGAGAATTAGTGAAGGTTTTACCTCTAGGGATGTGAGTTTCTCAATCGAAAGATGTGGTTGTATTGTGTTGAATGCAGACGAAAAGTCGATGAATAGTGCCCTGGTGTAACATTTCTGCTTATCTAAATGTTGGTAAATGGCATGAGTGAAAGACAAAACCGCATCATGGACTAACTTGTTTGCTTGGTATGCAAATTGGTAAGTGTCAATTCGTTCTTGGATAGGCTGAATGAGATTATGTAAGACAATTCTTTCAAGACATTTCATGACAACCGATGTGAATGCAATTGGCCGAGAGTCATTATTCTCTACAGGACGTGGCTTCTTAGCTACAGGTGTGATGACTGCGGCTTTCCAGCATGAAGGAATGCGCTGTTGGTCAATGGACATCTGGAATAGTGTCCGGTATGGTGTGGCAAGTTGACGAGCACATGCTTTGAGCACTCGTCCGCATATTCCATCTGGCCCGCTCGGTTTTCATGGACAGACTGATTTGAAACGTTTGTAGACTTCCTGCTCATCTACTGAGATTGGTGCATCATGCAATGAGCTCAGTGCGTTCCGTTGTTCCTCTATTTTGTTTGAGAAATCTTGAGTATCGAATCGGCAGTAAAACTTGTTTAACTCATCCGCCTTATGTTTTGCATTGTCCGTACCTTGAAAGACGTTGTCTTTACGCTTTTTGTAATCAGTCATCATTTCTAAACAGTTCCATGCTCCTCTTGGATTGTTAGCTTGAAGACAGCTCTCCAATTTCTCCCGATATCTCTCTTTCGCACCTTTTATCTCCTCTTTGAGTTTTTGATTTAACTCACTTACTTTTGCCACATCGCCCTGTCCAAACGCTTGTCTTTTTTCTTGCATGATCGATTTCAGATTTCGTTTTACCCATGGTTTATTATTTGGATAGTGCGTAACAGTCTTTGTTTCAATGTGAAGATGCTCACAGAAACCAACATAGCCATTTATTATGTCCGCACATTCATCATATCTTTTCCTGAGTTCAAAAGCAGTTGCCAGTCGGTGATCTCAAAAGCTGTTTGAAGCGTTTCAATTGATATCTGGTTCCAAGCACGTACTGTCTTTCTGGATGTTTGTCACTCTTTAATCTTTGTCAATATTTAGGCAACAAGTGAACTACATGATAATCAGACTTGCCGAGTCCTGGTCGAATGATGGTCTTGTAGGCATCCTGTAAGGCATCTTGTAATTCCATGCACACATACACTCTAAAAATATAGATTAGAGTATTGGTATTCAAAATTCTTCTTTTTGAAAGGCCAAGACTGGATTTAAAATGTTGACATCAGGCTCAAATACAAGTATTGCTGCAAGAAATATTACTTCAGATGTTGAAGAATTTTGAGATATTTTACAAACTTAGAGTGAAATCTCAATAAGTCAACTCTAAAGAGAATGGATACAAATTTCAAGATATCCGAAGTTTGAGTTACATATTAAAAGCATATGTACAATGTACACAAATGGCTTTCACTGCTATGAATGTTATTTGGCTCACTCTCGTTCTTTTTAGCGGTTTCAGAGTACAATGCTCCGAAACAGCTCCTGTTTTTTTCTCTTTCCATGCCCCCCCCTTTTTTCCCCTTTATTTTTTTCTTTTTCAGGCTCCTCTCTACATGTTTTGAACATGTTTTTTTCCACACATACACTTTTGGCACTTTCGTTAATTCAATCGACTTCAGACTTGGCATACACTTAGGCTTCCACTTAAAGATGTACATGTATGCCAAAGATTTTCATTGCAATGATGTAATCACGTGTCAAGTTACATCACCCTAAAGGTGCAATTTGTCTCCATAGGTTTTGTACACGTTTTCTTCAAACCGTACACTTTGCATTTTCGTATGTGATTGACTTTAGACTTGGCAGACACTTAGACCACCGGCCGAAGATGGTCCCCGATATTTTCGTTGCCATGACGTCACCAGGTATCAAGTTACATCACATTAAAAGTGCATTTTTCCAAGTGCTATATATCTTCCTGCGGCATCTCTGATCCTAAATCGTACTGGCCTCTGCCTTTCCTTGGGACCCATCACTGACGCGGAGAGGGGGATCCACTGAATGGGCTACAGCCTTTCCTCCATAGAAATCAGCCCAGGCCTGCGGCCTGGAGAGGACACTCCAGCCTTGCCAAATGGTGTGGATAAAACAGGGGAAGCAACAGTCTACCAGTTATAAGTCTAACTCAATTGGCGCACAGTAAGGCGCTAGGGGTTGCTTCCGATGGTGGGAAAGATCATCGCAGCTCAATGGGCAGCCCCCAGCCAGTTCGGTGCTGTTCCGCGCTGAGACACAATCACTGGCATACCCAGGAATGCAATTAAATAACAATGGCGTCACTCGTTCGCAGATCAGACGTTGTGATGATGTATAACCAATGCGTGGGTTGGAACATTTTGGATACTAGATGCTCTGTGGTGCAATCTGAGGCTTCCTGATGGCCACTTTCTGCCAAAAATTTTGGGGCAGAAAGGTTTATTTCAAAAAAAAAATTATTTAAAGGGATTGTACCAGTATTTAGGTCTTATGTCTAATTTGTATTTTTATTGCAAGGATGCTTTCTGATGTTACAGTTCCCTCAA